TTACCTCCCAGGTCCAAGTCCATAAACCACTATGCCACTCAAACCCCTACGCCACTCTTGCCTTTAAAGCTCATTGACTTGACCGACATATCATGAGATAAGCTACTGAGCCTCCTGTGTCCTTTGGACTTAAAACATTCCCCTTCTTCATGTGATTCAGTGGCTACCCAGAGAATGAAGGGCAAAGCCTGCACTGAATTGCTACACCCTGGCAATGGTTAATCTGTATTAAAGGTAAAGGGACCCCTGACCATTAGGTCCAATCGTGGCCGACTCTGGGGTTGCGGCGCTCATCTCACTTTAATGGCCGAGGGAGCCAGCATACAGCTTCCAGGTCATGTGGCCAGCATGACTAAGCCACTCCTGGCGAACTAGAGCAGCACACGGAAACGCCATTTACCTTCCCGCCGGAGTGGTACCTATTTATCTACTTGCACTTTGACATGCTTTCGAACTGCTAGGTTGGCAGGAGCAGGGACCGAGCAATGGGAGCTCACTCCATTGCAGGGATTTGAACCGCTGACCTTCTGATCGGCAAGCCCTAGGATCTGTGGTTTAACCCACAGTGCCACCCGCGTCCCTCAAATCTGTATTACCCACAACAATTTGGTCAGGGTGAATGAAACGTACCTCGAGAAACTTCCATCTGCAAAGCTGTGTGCAAGAGGCACGATCTCAAGAGGGTGGTCGTGTCATCTAATGGGTCCCACCTGTCCTTCAGTCAGCACAAACGTTAATGACTTTTCATATTCTTTCGCTAATATCATTCACACCTCTGCACCTAATGCCAGGGCTTCTGTCGCCAATTAGCTGAGATTAGGCAGAGGGAATAGCCTTGCACATACTGTACATGACAGGAGCCTATTCCTAGAGCTGTAGATCCCGTCTAAACTGAGCAATGCTGAACTCAGGGTGGAAACAAAAGCAGCTCATGAGAGCCGGCTCCAGCCTGCTCAGTAGGGGGGTAGGAATTATCTCTCTGAGGCTAAGGATACGCCGTGGTGCTGATAGTTCTAAAGAGCATGCTGACAACAGGAGACTTTCAAACCCACCCGAGCCATTTCTCCACCACGGTCCCTGCAGGCGAGCACTTCTTGCCTGTTAGTTTTTCGGTTAGGTTCCTTGTCTGTGGCGTGAGCAACAATGGGAACCATATGAGAAAGAACAAGGTCCATTCCAGCAAATCACAGTCACCTGAGGAGATTGGAAGGACAGTCCTTAACTCCAGCCGTGATCCCGCCGGGAGGAAACTTGGCAAGAAGGAAGTGGCTGGCTGGCCGGTTGCCTGTTTAGACAAGCCAAATACAAGCTAAAGCAATAGCAGTTCCAACAGGGCAGGTGGTGTTGGGTTGGTTTCTGGGTGACCAAGATACTACCAAGACTAAGCTGCTGATAGCAGGAGGGAAGGACTCGGGGGGCTCCATTGCTGGGCGAATCAGGAGGTGGTCTGTAGGGAGAAAAGTGGCTGGAGGGAGGGGGTGGGCAGCAGATGTAGCTGGCTCAGAAAACAAGGAAAGGGAGACTCCCCAGATGGAGATGGTGCCTCTAACCAGCAAGTCCCATGCGTGCTGATGTGGGGAACGGGGGAAAGACAGGAGAAGGAGAAACTCCTTTTATATCTCAATTGCCCAGGACTGCTTGGCTTCTCATGCCTGTATTCTTTATTACACTTACAGTGGTACCTTGGGTTAAGAACTTAATTCGTTCTGGAGGTCTGTTCTTAACCTGAAACTGTTCTTAACCTGAAGCACCACTTTAGCTAATGGGGCCTCCTGCTGCTGCTGCGCCGCCACTGCACAATTTCTGTTCTTATCCTGAAGCAAACTGAAGGAGCCAGTGTGGTGCAGTGGTTAAGAGTGGTGGACTTGTAATCTGGTGAACTGGGTTCGGTTCCCGGCTCCTCCACATGCAGCTGCTGGGTGACCTTGGGCTAATCACACTTCTTTGAAGTCTCTCAGCCCCACTCACCTCACAGAGTGTTTGTTGTGGGGGAGGAAGGGAAAGGAGAATGTTAGCCGCTTTAAGACTCCTTCGGGTAGTGATAAAGCAGGATATCAAATCCAAACTCTTCTTCTTCTTCTTAACCCGAGGTAATATTTCTGGGTTAGCAGAGTTTGTAACCTGAAGCATATGTAACCTGAAGTGTATGTAACCCGAGGTACCACTGTATTTATATATTCATGTGTGTATAGTGTTCGAATTCCTGCTCCATGATTTCAGTCATGGGATTGTTTTCTTTCACATGATGATATATGTTTTGACTCCACAGAGTGGGAAGTGACGAAGAAAGGATGTTTGTGTTACTGTGTTCCGTGAAGTGGGACTTTGTTCTTTTTCTTTGCTGTCTGATGCTAGAGAGAGAGGGAGCCGTGTTGCAGTGCTCTGTGTGTGTTTATATGTAAATAAAGTAGATTAGCCCAAATGCTGAGTTGCTGAGGTCTGTCACGCAAGTTGTGCAAACTCTGCGGATCCCTAAGTGTGCCGGTATCGGTTGGCATCGGTCGCTGTGATGTTCAGGCTGAAGAAAGCTTATGAAGCTCCCGAACAATTGACCAGGAGGGAGAGAACATGCCAGTTGGGCATGTGTCTCTGCCAGAGTCCATTGATTGTGCTATTTTATGCACAATCAATACCACTCTTGCAGCAGAAAACAGCTAGCACAACTATGTAGATGAATAAATGAATACCTCCCCCCCCCCCGTTTGATTTTTTAGAAACCCTAGCTAAAATTTCTGCAAAAAGGGCCTTTTCAATTCTGATGAAACCTTTTGGAAAACAGGTCTTCTGTATTTCAGCTCCAAATCAGTTGCCACATTCTGAGCAAATCTACGGATGGATGCATAACCTAAAGCAGGGATGGGTGAGCTTCCCAACCTGAGCTCCTGACCAAAATAGAAATAAACTAAGCTACACCAAGGACGTGGGTGGCGCTGTGGGTTAAACCGCAGAGCCTAGGCCTTGCTGATAAGAAGGTTGGCGGTTCGAATCCCCGCAACGGGGTGAGCTCCCATTGCTCAGTAAATAGGTACCACTCTGGCGGGAAGGTAAACGGTGTTTCCATGCGCTGCTCTGGTTCACCAGAAACGGCTTAGTCATGCTGGCCACATGACCTGGAAAGCTGTCTGTGGACAAACGCTGGCTCCCTTGGTCTATAGAGCGAGATGAGCGCTGCAACCCCAGAGTCGGCCACGACTGGACCTAATGGTCAAGGGTCCCTCTACCTTTTAAAGCTACACCAGGGGGGGAGGGACCTGGGGAAACGTGTCAAAGGCTCATAATGTTGTTTGAGTTAATCCAACTCCAAATCAACCTTGCCACTCATTTGCACATACCCTTTTTCATGATGTCAGGCTCAGAGGATGAGGATGAGCTGGCTATCGAACCACCGCTGGGTTTGATACCAGGGTTGAGATGCTGTACCAGAGCTCTTAAGAGGCAGGTGATGCTACCTGACTCTCCACTCCCTGCAGTTCTGGATCGAGCGTAGGGTGGCCACCTGGGTTGCTGGCAACTGCCTTGGCAAAACCACTGCCTGGATTTTAAAGTGCAAAGGGGAAAATGCATTTTAAATCTAGCTGTGCTGCTGCAAGCCAATGGTTTTACGGATGCCTCCGCAGCAGCAGTTAGCCCAGGTTGGCTGGCTGCCATTTAGGAAGGGGAAATGGAACTATGCTGCATAATTATGTTCCCTTCCCACTTCCCCAGTTCCACCTTCAAATTAGCAACGGGCCTGGCCAGCGATCCTAGCCCAGAGGAGAGTGTGGTCATTCAGCAAGGGTTGGTGGGGGGAGTGGTCAGGGCAGCAAAGAGGCTCTCTTACCCAGGGTCCTCTCAAACCTAGCAGTGCTTGTGGCAGGGGGGAAAATTACATATACTCAAAGCCATTTAGTCTGCCAGGCTCTGTTCATGTCCCTCTGTTCATCAGCACAGCCTTCTCATCTGCAGCATCTGGACTGTGGAACTCACTGCTTCATGAAATCCATCAGAGTACTTATTTATATACTTCAGGCATCAACTTAAATATGACGCCTGATGCATATTTGATAAAAATGCCTTCTGAAGTTGAATTATCTGTGGTTTAAGCTTTCGCTGCTGGTTATCTGCTTTTGGTTTAATTGTTTACCTGAGTTGATGTCAGAACTGGTCTCAGAATTGGTGTTGATGGCCCCCAAGCCAGGGCTTTTGAGGAAACCTTTGCTTGCCTTGTCTGGATTGGCTTAGGGTTTCATGGCCACCATGACAACGATGGTGCTGTCTCAAAAATAGACTGGTTCCACTTGTGGCAGGCCACACCTGTGGTATTATGTTTTCCACTGGGCAGGTAACAGGCTGTTATTAAGATTGAGGTTATGTGCACATTCTCTGTGAGGCCTGGTAGATGTGCACCATGGCTGGTTTTTATGCACATTAAGCATTCAAATTACGTTATTCCTAATATACAGACCGTCATTGATGATCACTAGGGACTCAGCTATATAGCTGCAAATAAAACGCTTTAAGTATGTTTTAAGTGCATTGTACGTGACACCAGATGGTGACAGTGAGCCTTCTGGAAAATTCTATGTATTTTTAAAAAACGCTTTAAAAAACGCAGTTTCAGAACGGATTTTATATGTGTGTAGATTCCACCTAGTGCTCATATGGAAACCAAATTTCTTGCATAACAAGCTAACAAGCAAGTTGTTGCAGAGCTTGGGACCAAGTTTAATTATTGCGAAATTCTCCAGCATTCCTAGTCAAGAGCATAAATTTGTCCTCCCAGGCTACCTGAGTTCTGCATCTCAGCCCATTTTTAACTGCTTCTTTGTGGCTCATTTTATTACGATGGACTTGTTTTGCTGTGCTACACTCATTTTTATTACATGGATTTAATTGTCCGTATTTTACTGTGAATTGCCCTGGGAGTCATTTGGCTGAAAGGCAGTATGCAAACAAACATGCAAGGTAAATATTGTTGTTGTTTCTTTAATTGCTATTATTTTATTCCTTTGTTTTAAAAACTTGTAATTCATCCTTTGTCCTCAAGACTCCAAGGTGGATTACAACAGCAAACATAGAAAACAATCAACATTGTTGTTGTTGTTTAATGTAAAATACCAGCTATACAATGAAAATGTAAGCAAGCTGCCCATTTCCTGAGACCTTGGAATCCCTCTGTATTAAAGAGACAAGCTGTCCGGAAGGTCCTGTGTGTAAACGAAAAGGTGCAGGAAATAAATTATACTGTATAAGAGCCTAGCTGCACTTTGTGCTTCATCACATAAAAGGAAGCCGTATATAAAGCTGGACTCTGCTGCTGAGAATTTTTAAAAGCTGCCCCAGAGACAGGCAGAGAGAGCTGGGAAGGGATCTTGAGAACGAGAGGAGGGTTTTTGCTTGTAATGACTGCCAGATCCTCTTCAATAGACTATATACAAGGTCTTCTATCTTTTCTTTACACTAGGCATTACCTCTTATATTTTTGGACTGGTGTGTGTGTGTGTGTGTGTGTGTGTGTGTGTGTGTAATGCAGAGATCATTATTTCAGCTGGAAGTTTTTTCACCTCATTGCAGCATTACCCTTGGAACAATAATCGCCCCTGCCAATCTGACCCAGCTCCATCTATAACCGGTAACAGAATATTTGTGTGTGTGTGCTGTCAGCTGGTAATATTTTGCTTCTCAGTGAAGCAGGCACTGGATACCTCTCAGCGATCCAACTTGCACATTCCCATTAAAGCCAAATTTGCCTCCATGGCAACATCTGTGTTATGCTGAGTCTAGTATCTCTCTGTGTTTTCAGAGCTAGACTCATCTATCATCGAAGACAGAAGGTTGGAACACGGTCACTACTGCTGTTGCTTTGGGTCCCGGCTTAAAGGGGGGGGGGCTGTTCAAAACTTGACTGAGGTCCAAAAACATCCAAGAGATGTGGTTACCTTGCCCAGATGTAGCCGTTCTGCTCCTTGAACTCTGTGGTTCTTGTCGGGTGGCAAGTCTTCCTGGAAGCTGCCTGGAATAAATGACACCCTATAATTCCACTTCCAGCCACTGAGTGAATGGTGGATTTACCCATAATCAGGGCCAATTCAGACGTAACATTTTACTCCATGGGAGAACTTTTAAAAAATTATTCCTCTGGACGAATATAAATAGAAAACATGAGCAGGAGCCAGCAGGAATCTAATATCCTGCTCACAAATCCTTCCTGGAAAATCAATGTGGATTTTCAGTTCTGATGTAATGTTTACCCAATGCAGACCTCTAAAGGAATACTTCCAAAATCACTTCTCCTTAGGAGAAGGAAACCTGACATGAGAATCGGTTCGATCCTGTGTATTTTCCTTCAGAGGTAACATGCAATTCAGTTCAAAGGGCCCTGCAAGCATCTAAATGTGCGCCACTATCTCAGCGTAAGGGACGCGGGTGGCGCTGTGGGTAAAAGCCTCAGCGCCTAGGGCTTGCCGATCGAAAGGTCGGCAGTTCGAATCCCCGCAGTGGGGTGCGTTCCCGTCGCTCGGTCCCAGCGCCTGCCAACCTAGAAGTTCGAAAGCACCCCTGGGTGCAAGTAGATAAATAGGGACCGCTTACCAGCGGGAAGGTAAATGGCGTTTCAGTGTGCTGCGCTGGCTTGCCAGATGCAGATTTGTCACGCTGGCCACGTGACCCGGAAGTGTCTCCGGACAGCGCTGGCCCCCGGCCTATAGAGTGAGATGGGCGCACAACCCTAGAGTCTGTCAAGACTGGCCCGTACAGGCAGGGGTACCTTTATCTCAGCGTAGGAGTCATTCTGCTACCTGGCTTCTTCCATACCCACTCAGGGTGCAAAAGCATTTCTGTCATAACTTCAAAACGAAAATAGCCACTAGTGTAATAGAACCTGCATGCTGTTGTCAAAAACAAGCACTCGTATTGTAGCTAATGTTTGGCAGCCGGCCTCAGAGTCAAAGGCCACAAGGGGCCTCCTGCGGGGAATTCCGGGATTTGCTCTCCGAGTACATACACCATGCTGTACACAGACTTACGATATATCATGTGTACAACCTGTCACACGCCAGGAATAACACTCCAAGCTGGACCTATGCATCAATCAACGCAGCGCACACAATAAGCACACATATATTTCCATTCTGGGACAGGGAGGGAGTGCGCTGGTGTGAATTAATAGATGAAATAAACAAACAGGTTTTTCCTCCCCTGGAGGTGCGGAATGTGAAGACTCCAAGAAACAAAGGAAAAAAATGAACAACAATGTTCATAAGTGTTCCAAGTAGTAAATAACAATGGTACATTCAAAAACTATAAAACAATGTGCTACATAAAACAGAAGGACAAAAACAACAACAACAACAACAGATCAATGTGAGGCCAGGATGCTTTAAAAAGTCCATACTACAATAATAATAGTAATAGTAATATGATGATGGTGATGATGTTACAATTACAGTGGTACCCCGCAAGACGAACGCCTCGCAAGACGGAAAACCCGCTAGACGAAAGGGTTTTCCGTTTGCGAGTTGCTTCGCAAGACGATTTTCCCTATGGGCTTGCTTCGCAAGACGAAAGCCCATAGGGAAATCTCCGGGACAGGGGGGAAGCGCAGCGTGTCTTCCCCACTGTCCTCGGACCTCCTCCCGCCGCCCGCCATCGGAACGAAGCTCCGATGCCGGGCGGGGGGGCGGGGACACCTTCTCCCGCCGCCCGGCTTCGGATGGCTTTCCTGAAGACTTGGGGTGGGAGGAGGGTTTTCCTTCCCACCGCCAACATTCGGAATGCTGTTCTGAATGTTGGCGGTGGGGAGGAAAAACCCTCCTCCCACGCAAGCCCCGGGAACAGAGGGAAAGCGCTGCGCACCTTCCCCTCTGTTCCCGTACCTGTCCTGAAGGCTTGCGGTGGGGAGAAAAGCCCTTCTCCGCACCGCCAGCCTGGCAAGCGGTTTCCCTAGGAACGCATTAATTGATTTTCAATGCATTCCTATGGGAAACCGTGCTTCGCAAGACGAAAAACTCGCAAGAAGAATAAACTTGCGGAACGAATTAATTTCGTCTTGCGAGGCACCACTGTAAATCCATAAAGAAAGCTTACGCGATTACCCTTATTCTGGGCGAATACACCAAAATGGAGAAACCGTATCCATATTGTCGATTTATGATGGCTAACAAGAGGCAATGTCTTCCATATGCTCTGGAACTGTGAAAAGAATGCTAAAAATCCCTGTTACTAAAAATAGTTGGCACTCATTCCTTCTTCAACATCTACATGTGATCGTTGAGATGAGGTCGCCTGGGGATTTGGAATAAGGTGCCATCAATATGCTGATGACTCCCAGCTCCATTTCTCCATTTCATCAGTTTCAACTGGCACCACATCAGTGCTGAACTGCACTCCTTCCTCACACCGAACTTAGCTGGGGGGGGGGAGTTTTTGTGTCTGATCTGTGGGTGCCGGGTGTTGACCCTCATGCATTGGGTGGGGTGTTGCCTGGGGAGGTGAATATGATAAGCCAGACTCTGCCTCTCTTCAGTTCAGCTACTGTTATGTACTGAGAGCAATAGGGTCCAAAATGCAGCAGTCTGATTGGTCCTAGAACAATAGGATTCAGAATGCAGCAGTCTGATTGGTCCTAGAACAATAGGATCCAGAATGCAGCAGTATGATTGGTCCTAGAAGAATAGGATCCAGAATGCAGCAGTATGATTGGTCCTAGAACAATAGGATTCAGAATGCAGCAGTATGATTGGTCCTAGAACAATGCAGCAGTATGATTGGTCTGCAGGAGCCATCCAATCCGGCTCCAGATGGAAGTGAATCCACAACCTGATTGGCCTACAGGAGAATTCCGGAATTAGCCGATCACGTGCAGCCCATTGTGTAAATAATGTATATAAAGCATTCCATTCCTCCTCACCACTATGAGTTGAATAAAGAGCATGAAATCCACTCTCGACTCCGAGTATATTTCAGCTACGAAGCATTGCAGCATTTGTAAACGACCTTAATCTTTTTTCAAACCAAAAAGTGGTCTAAAAATGGTTTTAATAAATAAGCAAAATGGATTAATATAGTGTAGGCACATCCCAGCTAAAGTTAAACATTTTAAAGTTGTATTGATTTCAATGGGATGAAATTGGGCACTTCCTTTCATTGGTAAGGGAAGTTCTTCATTTTATCATTCGTGAGGTGTGGGGAAATTTAGTTGGTCTCTAAGGTGCTACTGGACAATTTTTTATTTTTATTATAATTACTACAGCAAGCATGGGGAACTCTTGGCCCTTCAGACTCTAACTTCCAGCCAGCCCCCATGGCCAATAGTCCAGGATGATGGGGACCGCAGTCCACCAACATCTAGAGGGCCACATGTCCCCCCCCATCCTTACCCTACAGTGAGAGAGAAAAAGACAAGGATCATTTTCAGATTCACTTGCCACACACCCCTTGTCACTTCAGGTTGATGAAGAACCATCGATTAGGACTTCAGTACTGGTTTCCCTCTTTTTTGTGTGTAAAAGGGACCCCTGACCACTAGGTCCAGTCATGGATGACTCTGGGGTTGCAGCACTCATCTCGCTTTACTGGCCGAGGGAGCCGGCGTACAGCTTCTGGGTCATGTGGCCAGCATGACTAAGTTGCTTCTGGCGAACCAGAGCAGCGCACGGAAACGCCATTTACCCTCCTGCTGGAGCAGTACCTATTTATCTACTTGCACTTTGACGTGCTTTCGAACTGCTAGGTTGGCAGGAGCAGGGACTGAGCAATGGGAGCTCACTGCGTCACGGGGATTCGAACCGCCGACCTTCCGATTGGCAAGTCCTAGGCTTTGTGGTTTAACCCACAGCGCCACCTGCATCCTTTTTGTGTGTGCCCTGCTCCAAATAAGCAAAATGTCACTCCCAACTTTTGCATCGCATGGAAATAGTATTAACGTTTAAGGGAGGCAGTTCAACTCAGTCCTTGTTGGCAAAAAAGGGAAACAGTCTTAGAGAAGTAGAGCAGAATGTGAAAAGTTAGACAGAGTGGCTAAGTTTATAGTTGAGTGCATTACAAAAATTAACCAACAAGAAGAATGGGAGAAGTAAGGAAAGCAACATACCTCCCTGAAGCCGCTAATGTTTTCTGAGTTCTAAACAGCAGCAGAAATACAAGTAAATCCGCTCAACTATAAACCAATGCAACCTCCTTGGTGTACAATTATTCCGCACATAATGGGACCGAGAGCCTTGTCCACTGCGGTTTATTTACTGCCTCCTGAACATGGGTCAGTAACAGAGCACTTTTAACATGCACCAGGCAGTCTTCCAGAATAGCGGGTTGATGAATACTCAAAACTGAACCGAGCAACGCTCGGAGTCTGTACGATAATTATTATGCAGGACATCTGGAACTTGTTTAGCAGCAGAATGAGCTGATACAAAATCATGTTATGAATATTTACATACGCACAGAGGTGTTAAAATTCAGAAATGCCATATATGTGTTTAAATTTCACTTGTTGAGAACACTGCCTATAAGGTTTAGGTAAACTGTAGCTATTACTTATTACTCTACTTACGACTATTATTTTAAAATGTATACTATTTCTCAATCAGCACCTAACAATTTGCACTTCAGGAGATGTATATAATCGTAAAACTATAGCGTATCGATTCAACTTAATATGCCATAATATACATTTCAGCATGATTTGGGCTGAAAAACTTAAAGGGCAATATAAGTAAACAATGAATTGCCATAGTTGACAAATCCCATCAGGTCCTACCTCCCTCGTATGGGAGAAATGGAGGCAGCAGAGCTGGAACAAGGAAGTCAGTTATCAAGCACCTACACAGATTAGCCAACTATGGGCTGACACCAAAGCTATGGCAATTTTTTCAGCCCTTGAGGCCTTTTGCTAAGGCTCAGGTGAGCTTCCCACACAGACGCTGAGCTATACTCACAGTTGACTCTTATTGACATTTGGCCTGCACAATTCAGTCATTATTGTTGCTGAGTCGTTTAGTCGTGTCCGACTCTTGGTGACGCCCTGGACCAGAGCACGCCAGGCACTCCTGTCTTCCACTGCCTCCCACAGTTTGGTCAAACTCATGCTGGTAGCTTCAAGAACACTGTCCCACCATCTCGTCCTCTGTCGTCCCCTTCTCCTTGCGCCCTTCATCTTTCCCAACATCAGGGTCTTTTCCAGGGAGTCTTCTCTTCTTATGAGGTGGCCAAAGTCTTGGAGCCTCAGCTTCAGAACCTGTCCTTCCAGTGAGCACTCAGGGCTGATTTCCTTCAGAATGGATAGGTTTGATCTTCTTGCAGTCCATGGGACTCTCAAGAGTCTCCTCCAGCGCCATAATACAAATGCATCAATTCTTTGGCGATCAGTCTTCTTGATGGTCCAGCTCTCACATTTTACTCAAGGGCTGGGAGAACCTGTGGCCCTCAACATGCTGTTGGACTCCAGGCCCCTGTCAGCCCCTGTCAGTAGAGCCAATGGCCAGGAATGGCAGGAGCTGTAGTTCAGCGGTGAAATTTTTCGTAAGGGAACAGTTAGGGCCACCACACCTCCCTAAGTCAGGCAGAAGCTTCCCAGGCTTTGGGAAGGAGGTGCCAAGGAACATTCAGGGGACTAGCCTAGGCATAGGCAAACTCGGCCCTCCAGATGTTCTGGGGCTACAATTCCCATCATCCCTGACCACTGGTCCTGTTAGCTAGGGATCATGGGAGTTGTAGTCCCAAAACATCTGGAGGGCCGAGTTTGCCTATGCCTGCCCTAGCCCACAAATTGCACGCCACTGGAAGGTGCCAGGTTCTCCAAACTTGTTTTGCTCTCTGTCTGAGGAGACATTTAACATCAGGT